GGCTCTGTTAGTAGCTGTGTTAGCAGCTCTTGTAGCGGCTCTGTTAGCAGCTCGGCTAGCAGCTCGGCTTTCTCTGAGACTCTGATCTGTCCTTGTTCTTCTCTGATTCATCTTCTGGAGCCCAGAATGATGTGCTGGCTGATGTGCTGGCAGCGGTTTGTGACTGAAGTGTTTCTGTGTGTGTGCAGGTCCTGTTGGCGTTCGCTAACGGGCTGAACCAGCTCTACTTCTACTACGAGACGAAGGCATCAGAGGAGCCCAACAACTGCAAAGGCATCCGCTGTGAGAGGCAGAACAACGCCTTCTCAACGTGAGTAACGCCTCCGATGTGAGCTGGAAAAATCAATCAGAGCTTCACCCGAACTGCCTCAGAACATCTGGTTCTGTATCTGCAGCAAATCTGTCTCATGATCAGAGTTCAGAGGGTCCAGATTGATCACTTCAACTTCTCCATCATTTCTGAGTCTCAGAGCTTCATCAGAACAGCAGATAGACACATGACATTTAGGAGGAAGAACACATCTGGGTTCTGGTAGAACCTGACACCGGATCAGTTCTACATCCATCCAGGTGCCACCATCTAACGAGTCAATATGGCTATATTAGATTTTTCTCTCCCTGGGTCACACAGAGGACCCGGTGTAGAACCCTGTGGAACACGTCCCACATCGTGGTGTTTCCAGACGGCTAAAGTCCAAAATCTGAGGCTTCAAAAATGTCCACAAACCAATAAAAAACAGCGAGGATGCTGGGATGCTGTAACGTTCAAAAACTCCAACAGAACAAACATAAAAACACAGTGAATGTAAAAGTTTGGCCTGTTTTGTAAATTCATTGTTTTGTTTTGTTTGTTTTTTTAATTTTGCAAGTTATTATCTGTAACTTAACAAAAGAAAAAAGGGAAAATCTGTTAAATATCAGTTAAAATTAGAAAAAATACAAGATTCACCATTGTTCAGTGCTTTCTATAAACTAGTTTACTTCCAAATAATGTGAGTTCTCTGTTAAATAGTGACATTTTTACTGATGTAATACAGTAAAGAAATGGTCCAACATTTAAAATGAACAAATTATCATTATTTACAGTTTTAACCTTTTTTCTAACATGTAAATTCATATTTTTTTTCTGTAATTCTTGTAATTTATTATCTAGAATACCAGTAAATCACAGTTTAAACATCCGTCTTTCAGAACACAGTCGGACATGTTCTTGGCTTTAAAAAGTTCTGGAATTTTTTACATGTATTTAAAATCCCGTGAATGTCTGGACGTCTTCATTCTTTATCCAGCAGAAAAGTACAAACAGTGTTTTTGAAGGTCTGCAGGATAAAAGTCAGTGTTCTCAGGACGGTGAAGAAGAACTGACGTTCAGGAGAAAGACAGTTCTGCTCGGTTTGTTGGGGTTCTGGCCGAGTATCGACGAGCAGCCTGGTTTGTTTTGGATAATAGCCGTATTGATCGGCGATCGATTCCATTACAGCGGCGCTCTGGGCTGGCCGACTGTAAAACAGCAGCTTGGAGCCGCATTAGCGGTAAAACGTGACGGATTCTCAAACAAACGTAATCATCAGCAGGTTGGGATGCCAGCGCAGTGATTCATGTTAAACGCTGGAGACCTGCAAGATGATCAAACTCCAGATAGAAAGTCACTCACGAGACTTCACTGTCGTACGACGGAGTGAAGGTGCACCGTCAGCACTCATGGAAAAGAGGATCAATAAGATCTAAACACAAGAACAGTTTCCTCAAGTGGTGACAGTGAACTGTGGCACCAAACCAAAGTCCCGTCACATCCCTGAAGGACAAAGTAGTTCTGAATGATGCTTTTCTCTCTGCGCTCACAAGTCGATTATTTCCATGTTGATTGATTTGTTTGGTCTCTGAAGTGTCAGAAAACGGTGAAAAGTCGGCGTTTCCCTGAAGATGTTCGGCTTCCCGTCACAGAGGAGGAAGGAACCCAGAAGACGGTCTCACTGGGGACGCTGCAGTCACCGAATTTCACACAACAGTTGTCGGTTAGCAACGGGCGCCATGACGACGACTTCTGGGGAGGCTGATGACCTCATGTGTCGGACAGTATTGATCACTGATTGATCATTTCTGCCCTTTGTGACATAAATGAGGTTCACATGCAGAACATCCACATCAGTCGGGTTATCTACTCGGAGAAGAAGAAGAAGAAGTGGTGGTGGTGTGGAGCTGATGCATCCAGTCAGACACAACGACCCTGAACATCCTCCTGCTGCTGAAATCAGCCTCACGCTGGAGCTGATGAGCCTCAGATCGCATCCAAACCGGCGGCGGCGGATGACTTCCTGTATCTCCTGCCGCCTCGCTCTGCTTCACTCCCGCTCCTCAGCGTTAATGTGTTGGACGGCTTCACACCGGGTCTGGAAACACGCCGTCATTGTCTCTCTGCAGACCTCAGTCCACCGTCTTTCATGTACAACTCTGGCTTCCTGATTCACCAACATGTCAACAGCACCCGGACCAGTACCAGAACGCGCTCTTTGATTCAACTGAGGCCCGTTTACACGAAGCAGAAACGGCGACATTTCGATGCGTTTGTTTCACACGTTGACGAAGCTACGAGTCACCGAAAACGACCTCAGTGGAGATCTGGAAGAACTCCGTGTCTACGTTTGCGTGTAGACGGGAGGAGGCGGAGTCTGAGGTCACATGTGTGCGACCATGTTTACAGTTCGGCTGCTGCGATGGAAAGTCAATACGACCCTCACACCAGTATCGTCCACGTGACAAAGTTTTCGTTGTTGTGTTTTTTGCAGTATTCTGATTGGCTAGCACGGCTTTATGCTTCTCGTTACACTGCCCCCTGTAGGTCTGGCAGCTCATAGCAGCTCTGAACGGGGTTGTCTAAACAAAAACAATGCGGTGCGATCGATGTTATTTTTGGAAACGTAGATCCGGTTTTTGTAAACACCGGCTACGTGTAACGTGGCCTCAGACTCGTGTTTCTGCATCGTAAGTAAAAAGTCCCGACTAAACGGGATCTACTGAGTGTTTTAATCCTCTGAACTCCAAACTGTTTGTTTGTTTCTGGCTCATTTTTCTCTGCGATATGAAGTCGTCTCTGGAACCAGAACAACATGAAGAAGGAGACAGAACTCAGAGATACCTCCTGTCAGCAGGACTCAGTGGCCATAAATCATAAAATAATACAAAGTTTATTTTCTTTCTCTATTTATTTCACAAAAACAGAACAAAACTCTGGACATCCTGCAGATATGGAGCTGTCTCCATGTTTCCAGCCTCTCCAGACATCCTGGAATCACTGTCACATGACTTTTGGTTGTTTTTAAAAAGTGCATTCTGGGTAAACGTTCAAGGCTCATATTAGCATGTGTGACGGTCAGAACCAGTTCTAGACGATGGAAGGACCATTTTTACCCACATTTGAACGTGTCATGTGTCTATCTGCTGTACTGATGAAGTTCTGAGGCTCAGAAATGATGGAGAAGGTCCATTAAGGTGATCAACCTGGAGCCTCCTCTGTGGAGAACTCTGGAACGTTCACACTCTGAAGGTAGAACGACACTGAAGCTGATTAAAAACAAACTGAGCTAGAGACTGTCCTCCTTCGTCATTGCGCTGGTTCGTCGGTTTGTCTTTGCGTCGCTGCCATGGTTACAGGCTGCTCATCGAACGTCTGATGAAGCAACAGTCGGAGCTTCTGTCGGATGTTCAGCAGAGTCTCTCCAGGCTGCTGATGGATCCATCAGCGTGAGATGACTCTTCTGTCAGAGTCGGGAGTAAATGGAGTGAGGAGGCACTGAATCAGGGAGATATTACGTCTGAGTTATGAAACCAGAGAGGAAGGAGGAGGGAGGAACACAGCTGAGGAGGAGAGGATGAGCCTCCAACACCTTCATCTTCATCTAGCTGATTGTTATTGTGAAGGATTCCTCCTCCTCTCTGCTGCTGCCTCTTCTCCTTCCTCATCTCTCTTCATGTCTCTTCATCTCCTTGTTTCCTTTCCTCATTTCTTCTCCCAGCTGCTCATTGCTTCTTCCTCTCCTTTCCTTGTTTCCTTTGCTCCTTGTTCCTTTCCTCGTCGTCCTGTTTTTACTTCTTCTCATCTTTTCTTTTTCTGTCCTCTCCATCTTCTCTATCATTTCCTTATCTCCTTGTTTCCTCTACTCCTTCACCCTCCTCTCTGTATTTTCTGTCCATTTCTTCTTTCCTTGTTTTCTTTTCTGTTTTAGTTTCCTCCTGCATGTTCCCTACCTCTATTTGTACTTTCCTTACACCTTCATCTCCTCTACTTGTTTCCTTCTTTTGTTTCCCCTCCTTGTCTCCTCTCCTTGCCTCCTGCCTTTGTCACCTCTCCTTGTTTCCTCTCCTTGCCTCTTCTCCTTGTCTCCTTATGTCCTCCCCTCTCTCCCCTCCCTGTATCCTCCCCTTGTCTCCTCTCCTTGCCTCCTCTACTTGTTTCCCCTCCTTGTCTCCTGTCTTTGTTTCCTGTCCTCCATCTCCTCTCCTCATTTCCTCACCTCGTTTTCTCTCCGTCATCTCCTCTCCTTATCTCCTCTCCTTGTATCCTCCCCATGCCTCCTCTTCTTGCCTCCTCCCCTTGCCTCCTGCCCTTGTCTCCTCTCCTTATCTCCTCCCCTTGCCTCCTCTCCTTGCCTCCTCCCCTTGCCTCCTCTCCTTGCCTCCTCCCCTTGCCTCCTCTCCTTGCCTCCTCTCCTTGCCTCCTCTCCTTGTCTCGCTGCGCCTGTAGTTCGTTCACACAGACACAAACGGAGCTTTCTCAATAGAATCCGTTTTCGTGCATTCAGATGCAGATTTATGCAGGACGGCTCGTCAGAACCACATCATCTGCTCCACATGGGGCCTGGTGCTGGAGGACAAGGCTTCGCTCTGCTGCTGCCGCCCCGGCGGCCCGGTTCTTCACCGGTTCTGTCCTCCACAGCGTGCTCTTTGTGTGTTCACCTCCTTTGTTTTGTCAGATTCGTTTGACTTCACCTTAAATCACTTTAACTCATCAGCGCCGGCCAGTTCTTTTCCTGCATCCAGTGTGCTCGTCTGCTGCAGCTGGGTTCTGTGTCGCCATCTGGATCTGGTTCAGCGCCAGCGAGCTTCAGTTCTGCGCCATGCAGACTCGGATCACAAACTGTTGGTTCTGATTCTGTTTGTTAATCTGCAGAGTCATGAGCTGCCGTTCTGGATTTCTGAGATTTGACTGTTTTGAAGCGCGAACATACGTCTCAGATGTTTAACTGGTTCTCAGAGTGAGAACAAGAACCAGAACTCAGCAGCAGTTCTTCACATGTGTGGATTTCGATGATCTGATGAAGCATCAGGCTGATTTGATCTTTTAACTTTTGTTTCACTTTTTTGTTTTTCTAACCCAGAAGGATGGTTCCTGTGGGGGGTTCAGATTACACATCAGTTGTCCTCAAAGGCAAACTTCTCCCTCCTTGTTTCCCCTCCTTGTTTCCCCTCCTTGTTTCCTCCCCTTGTTTCCTCTCCTTGTTTCCTCCCCTTGTTTC